TGAAACTAGGGTAACTATATTTTACATTACGAAAATGGGTGTGACAGCAAAGCCATAGATCAGTTTATCAACTGGGACCAGGAACACAGGATTGCTTTTTCCTCAATAGTGTGCACATGCATGACGCTCCCCAAAAAAGATTCTACACATTGAAAGTAAATAACTCCGGTAATTATTGAAATCAAACACTGAACATGGTTGGGTTCAAATGTAAGTGTTTTTGTGGAGGATGTTTCTTTTGCCAGGAGGCTGCGGCTAGTGCACACACGTCAGACTACAGCACGTGCTCCTACTGCTCCCCCCCCCCCCCCCACCCTCACACGCTTGTCAGAGCTCAGCCCGCTGGAAGCCCTGTCTCACAGCACGGCCGCATCTGTCCGACTGGATCTTGCGCTCCGCCCGGACTAGCAGCTCTAGGTTTTTAAGACTTGTGGGCAACTCCTAGCAGTCCTCGTCTTTCAGATCACCCCAAAGGAAGAGACCTGGGAGTGCTAGATCCGGTTAGCGCAGATGCTATGTCGTCACCGTCTTCTCGGATACGACCCAGCCCCAAAGTGCTCCTGGGGCCATCTCGGAGACATCTGAGACGCGCACGCCATCCAGCTCAGGCACTGGGAGAAGGCTATGTAAAAGCAGTTCCGCTTTGGCTCCTCCCAGGGCTGAATGAGTGCTGCTACGAAGCGATCCGCACGACGGTGTAGAAAGAAGATTGGCCCTGATGGCACTCAACAGTCACTTTGGGTGAGTGCAAGGGAGCTGTGCACATCTGCGCTGATGGATGCTGACTTCAGAAGTAATAGCTTTGGGCGATCAAACATGTGCAAATGCAACTGTATCATTGATGAATGCATCTTTGAAAAAATGCTATGCGAAAACGCTCCGCTATTACCGCGAGAACATGCTGAACAAGTCATAGGCCGCTGTTTTTCTTTCCCTCAAGGCCAGTAGTCTTTTTCTTCCTTCAGCGATATTTTCAGGTTTTCCTCAGGCTTTAGTCTTCTTTTTCGGTCGGACGAAATTAGGTCTGGTGAGCACGCATCTTGCAGGAGATCACATTTTCAAAATCGCGTGGGCTGCTGACTTATAAATGCCCAGACGTTATTCGAGACGACGAGCCGAACTTTAAGGCTCAATGTTGATGCCACGTGAGTCCTTTGGAAATCCCCCCTGGTCCCATATGGTGATGGGGCGGCCAGATAGACCCTGACGTCCCCCGAATATAGTCTCGCGGGTCAGAGTTTTACCTGGGTTTGTCACATGGTTGAGTTCCTCAGCGTCAGAAAAATGATAATCAGTGTCATTACGAGACAGGATGTTGCGAGAACCGTGGATTCCTACGCGCGCCAGGCCACATACGCATATCACGGGGGGCAATATGTGAACAAGAAGAAGCTGTGGTAGTGCCTCTTCCAAAGTGTGCGGTCTGTTGGTTGGCTGAAGCATTATCCGGAATAATTGAGGTGAACACCGAGGATCAGCCCAAACAAAGACCCAACCTCATCGCTGGGGTTGCCTGGGTGCAGTCTTAAAGGGTTGTCCAACAAACGCGTCGGGTTCCTGTTTCGGATTCAAGTGAAGGAGGCTGACATGTTTTCCGAATCTCCGAATAAGGCATGCGTCATGCTTGCATGCTAATACATAAACTTCGTAGTTATTTTTTAGTTGCAGTGACGTGGTAACCATTTTTGCATCGGCGAAGAATGTTAGATTTTGTCTGAAAGTACATTAAGTTTTGTACTTTCGGGCCCATGCTCTTTCAAAACATGACGCCGGATACAGCGCCGGCAACAATACAATTTCTCTCAAAAATAAAAAATAATACTTTTATAGGATCTCTGCTCTAGCAGATTTTATGGCAACAGCGGCGGACGACTTAGCATTTCTACGTCTGCTTTTGTCGAGTGTGATCATTGTTAATGCATTTGATCTGGCAATCTGACGCTCTTCCTCGCTTCGGGTGCTCTTTTTACACTCATTGCCTTCGGCTGTGGTTGTGTGCTGCCGGCTGGACTAGTAAGCATAAGGGGAAGTTTGTGCTATTTTAGGCTCTCTTGACGATCCGCTAAGCCACGATGAAGCTCACACTGCTCCCTCGGCTCAAACTGAACTAGTGTCTATTGACACTGTTTACTATTGGACTATGGTGTGTTTCGTAAGCTTTTTGCCGACTTTCTTCTATCTGTTAAGTACATCACGCTCGTATGACATTTTGTATTTACACACTAGCAAACTTCATACCTAATTGTCAAATAACTGTCACGTAAAACATGGAAAATATGCCAAACATATTAAGTGCAAACAACTGTCGCCCCATTGGGCATGCCACCTACTAACCTACAGGACGTGGAAGGTGATATGTTCGCCCAGTCTCCTCGCAAGACTGTCTCCAGCTCCACGACACTGCTCTGGGATCGAGCGGTATTTATATTGTCGGGGTGCGCGCTCAAGGTGTCGCACAGATCTGCGATTGGGTCTGAGTCAGGGGAATTCCCCGGTCCTG